ATGATTTCGCTCTTGGCTGCCGCTGCCAGCTTGTCTCCCAAGCTTGTCTCCCTTCATGATTTCGCTCTTGGCTGCCGCTGCCGCCTTGTCTGTGAAGCTTGTCTCCCTTCATGATTTCGCTTTTGGCTGCCGCTGCCGCCTTGTCTCTCAAGCTTGTCTCCCTTCCTGATTTCGCTCTTGGCTGCCGCTGCCGCCTTGTTTCCCAAGCTTGTCTCCCTTCATGATTTCGCTTTTGGCTGCCGCTGCCGCCTTGTCTCTCGAGCTTGTCTCCCTTTATGATTTCGCTCTTGGCTGCCGCTGCCGTATTGTTTCTCAAGCTTGTCTCCCTTCATAACTTCGCTCTTGGCTGCCGCTGCCGCCTTGTCTGTGAAGATTGTCTCCCTTCATGATTTCGCTCTTGGCTGCCACTGCCGCCGTGGTTCCCAAGGTTGTCTCTGTTCCTGATTTCGCTCTTGGCTGCCGCTGCCGCCTTGTCATTTTCTTGTCTGCCTTTGACGCGGATGCTGTTATAAGATGATTTAGGTCTGAGGTTTACCTTTTCCATCCTTTTCCCGGCTTTGAGTGGGATGTCTCCCAAGCTTGTCTCCCGCTCCTGCCATGCTTTCCAACTTTTCTTGAAGTGCTATCTGGGGTCTATGCCGGTATAATTTGTTTGTTTTTATCCTCTTCAAGTCTTCAAACAGCATTGGCGCATGGGCCACTGCAGGTGCCAAAGGCACAGAGATGGCGGCCACCTATGCTCGACTGCATCAGCTTCGGGGAGTGGAAGTCATCCGTGCGGACACGGCCACGTTGCAATCGGTCGACTACAACGCAGCCTGCGTGGAGCGGGCGGTCCGGAATGTGTTCACACCATGGGGATGGGTGGGCTACAGCCAGGGCTGCGCCAATGCTTTCCGGGCAGAGGCCATGATGCTCCAGGGCACTCCAGAACAGCAACGCTTGATGAGCACCTTCAGATGCCGACAACTCCTTTTCTCTGCGGCAAATGGTTCAGCACATGCGACCTGCGGGGACTGGAAGCTTCTGCGAGCACTAGTAGATGGTGAACGTTTCCTCAAGCGATTTCAGGCAAGCATGTCAGCTGCAACGCAGAATCTGGCACTTGATTTGTTGCAGAATGGACTCTCCTCACGCCTCGCCTATGCAGTCCTTGGCAGTGTGCAGTCGCTGACACACGAGGGTGCCAGAACTATGTGGCGGGATGGCCAGCATTGTGCCCATGCTCCTTCTACATCCATGCGTGGAGTTGTGGAGACCCATACGCTCCCGGAGTGTTTGATGTTTGTGTCCAATGTTATACTGCAGCAAATGGATTATAGCCAGCGACAAGACACGCAAGTGGCCGTTGAAGAGGCCGTGGCATATCCAACAGGCATCCGGAATGCCAATGCTGAATTGTTGAAAAGAGTTGACATGCGAAGTGCAATTCAACGCACTCATCACTGGTCACCTCTTCACGAAGAGGTGCTTTTCCTGACTACCTCAGGTGACGGGCAGGACTTGGCAATGTTCGACACTCCCAAAGATCGACATGTTTTCCCGTGGCTTGAAGTGAATGCCCGCTTTGGAGTCATTCAACGGAAGGACCATGAAGGTCTTAGTTTCCAGTTGGACAGCTGAAGGCTGAAGGCTCATTTGTCCACAGCCTGCTTTCGATTTTTGTCAAAAGGGTAGCTCTCAATGGAAGCAGTGCAGTCACAGCAGGGAAGAGAGTAAGCTTCGCAAGAAAGCTCCGTGTTGTCTTGGGCAGGCATTGCGGGTTCCATTTCCAATTTCTTTTCTCGCCTGACAAGTGTGAAGCCCAGTTATGCGCCAGTTATTGCTTTGCTGTCGGTGGGTTATGTGGAATCATTGCTTGTTGTTGGATGGAGTGCTCTTCGAGTGCAGAGGTCGCTTGACGCCAACATGGCTGGAAGGAGTGACTCGAGGTGCCTTGGCTCAGTTTTTGAGGGGGCGTTTTGAGACACGCAGGCAGTCAGTTAATCATAGGTTTGGCCCTCGTGCCATCAATTGATTCACCGATCCGTTCTCGAGGAAAGGTTTGACGGGAGCTCGAACAGAAATACTTGCACACGTTGCTCTGGGAGATACGTTCCCACTTCCTCATACACCATATACGGAGCCAACAGAAACCTCTTCGAGAAGCCAAGGTTTGTTGAAGAACTGTGCCTCAGTGCTTGAGAATGAGTTAAACATGACTGGGGTCCAATACGTTTGAGGCATCCGCTTCGGCTTTGGGGTCTTTTGCATCCTGGTGACTTACATGGTGACCTCTTTCAGGCGAGATTTACATCAGGACCTGATGAGGTTCGCTGGTCACGGCAACATGCCCGCGATGGGACCCAAACACAGACAGGGATGCGCAAGCAGGGTCTCAGAGTTGAAATGTGCGAAGAACAGTCAATTTCATGGCCAGGATGGGCCCGACGAGTATGAAGCAGCGTATGGAAGAAATTAAACGCTTCTGGAGCTGCAAGTTTTGATGCACGGTGTCTTCTGATGCAAGCAGGCACCCTTGGGTTCGTTCCAATGCCTGTCAGCCAAGGTTTGAACACCCTGTGTGCGCAGAAAGTGTTGGAATTGATTTTATCTCTCAAGGGCTATTACATCAAGGCTCGTTGGAGTGGTTTTCTCATTCGGGGAGCCTTGTTCCCACTCTATACTGTAGATGGTCTCAGGTCGCTGTAGATACTGTATAACCACTGTATATGCTGTAGATGTACTGCAATGTTAAAATATATATGCCAATATGCTCATATAATCATATATGTATAATATTTAATATACCTATATTCTTTGTGTGGAAGTACTGCTGGCGGCAGTGAAGCATCCAAGATTGTAGTCGCAGGCCGCGCAAACCTTGTGTGGTGCAGGGCAGTTCCCTGAAGAGCTGCTTGGGTGGCACATGCCCACCTAAAGCCTTTAGCAAACGCACCACTAGTCACTAGCACTGTTTGCCTTGGGGATCCTCGTCGACGTATGGCAAGCAAGCAAGCAAACAAGCAAGCAAGAGTCATAACATGCAACTGGCGGAGGAACAGTAGAACTTCGAAGCCGCTGGCCGCTGGTCACCGTTTGCCACCCAGGTTTGATGAGGTTTTTTTGCAGTCCTTTTGGATCAATGCCCCCAGGACGAGTTGATTACGACCGACTTGGTCTTTCCATGTTTTTTCCAGCTCAAGGATGGCTTGAAAGCTTTGCACACAAGGGCTCCTCCCCACCAGCCTCCAGCCTCCATGTCTCCCGCAGCTGGGTGCAGATATTGCAGCAGGAGCCCTACGAGGTGATTTGTGGGATCCTGGAAAATGAGCTGGAGGGCCTAGATTTGGATGTCGCAACCAAACATAGCAAACATAGAAGCTGAAAGCGGGGGGACTGGGTTTGGGATATGGGCAAGTATGACAGGGTCATTACTATTACCTCATGAACGCACAGCGACCCGTGACTATGGCAATCTCAGCCTTTGGAGTGAGACCAGTGGTTCCCTCAGATGTGTCAGCTGCCATCAGCGACTCAGGTTAGGGTGCTTGATAGGCGAGGAAGAAAGCGAGTGAAACTGAGTTCATGCATTTGCTATCATTTGCTCTCAGTTCGTTGTGGTGGTGGGAAACTAGGCGACGTTTTCGAGGACTTTGACCCAAAAGCAGTCGCAGCAGCTTCCATTGCGCAGGCAGAGTAGCAGTAGTTGATTCTGGCAGTCTGTTTTTTCACATTCGGACATTCTGTGACTATACAGCATGCACGGAGCTAGGTGCACTTTGCAAAGCTCAAGGATGGCACCAAGGTGCACCGGGAATGAAGTTAGCAGGATGATAGCTCGAAATCTTTTAAACACTTGAGCAACTCCGGTAGTATACATCATACACCTCCATTCTTGTTTTTTTTTTTTTTTTGAGGTTGCTTTGGTGCTTACCGGTGATGATTCCGATGAGGATATATGTATATATATGTACTGTATGTATATATATATATAAGAGTCCATGACATCTGATAGCCAATGTTACTTTCGGGTTACTGGAGACAGGGACTAACAGAAGCCAGCGGTCTTTTCTATTTGATGATGTTGGGGGGGAAGCTCAAAATGATCAGTAGACAAACCACATCAAGAGTTGAAGACTATTGTGGTGCTGTCAAGAATGACGAGCGGCATTGCTGTACACCAGTGAACCCAAGAACAGGTTAAGGTATATGAAAGAGCTGTTACTACAACATCACAACTACAAAATACCGTGTGATTGCAGTATCAGAAACTAGTACATAAGCAGTATCTTGAGAATGTTGTTAATGTTGTAAGTGTGAAATCCGATGCTTTCGTTATTCAGTGCAATGGCTGCAACAAATGGAGCCTGAGGAAAACACCGGAGTTGTTGGACTTCCATGTTGAGATCGGTGGGCTAACAGATCCATCATACTCGAACTCACTTGTTTGAACAAAAAGGCCGTGAATATGTTTGGGTTCCAATTGCCAAAAGCAAACGAGTCAATGTGGTGGATGAAGATGCTGCAAATGAGAGGTTTGACCTTGTTGAGAAACACCAGGTTCTTATGATCAAAGCTAGAGTTGCTGGAGCTGGTAAGTCAGCCAATTGCAAACACAAGGGCAGGTTGCAGGGATATGATATAAGGTGTTATTCGTAGTGCCTAGCAACAAGCCGGGATTGGATTGATGTTGAAACTATTGCTGTATATAAATGAATTCTTCAGTATAGTCATTGGGGATGAACAACTGGAAAGGTACATGAACATGCTTTGCACTGTAGCAGTTTCGACCCCGAGATCATAGTACACCTTTTTTTCACCTAGATGGCCGTAGATCCTTACCTTTTCGGCAGTTTCGCTGCTTGGTAGCGGAGCCTGTCCAGCTCCGGCTCCGTTTCTTGCAGATCACAATTGTCATCCTCGTGGCATCGGTATGCATGAGTCCAATTCGAGCGTTTCGATCAGCTACCAGCTTCTTGCACAGTCGTGTGCCCAGACCGGGTTTCGTTCATTTTTCTGTTGGAGACGTTGACGATGTATCGCCCACCGGACACGAACGTGCGAAGCCAGACGCGACATTTTCTTGCAAGGGCTCGCTGCAAACTTTCCCCAGTGTTGTGCAGTTGATAGCTACAGTGCAAGGCAACTTTTACAGTTCAGTTGCAGTTGTTGGAGCAACAGCACGCTGTTCACGTACAGTTTGCTTTGTTGAGAGGCCTGGCATCAGTTGCAGCGTTGCCGACAGGAACGATATTGATGGCTGCAGCAGTTTTGACTGGCGTGTCACTGACAGTTGCGTAGCACATGGCGCTATCCCCCCTGTCAGGCTACCACCTCAATTGTGTGGTGAACAAGTCGTGCGCTGAAAGAGGACAGTGTGCAGAGCATTCCGTAGTTGATCTTTCAGACGTTGACCGCGCAGCTTGCAGTGATGCAGAGTTGACACGGTGTGAAGAAGACAATTTCTAACTCTTTCTACTTCGACGTGGGCTGTACCGCCTTTGACGGGCGGTGCCGCGTGATGACTTACAGAGTGTTGACAACGTTGAAAGCCGGAAGTGTTGAGCGCGCTGTGCCGCATGACCCACAGGTGTTTGGGCTCATCAACCCTGAGGAGGCGGCGTGTGGAGACGATTCGTGGTAGGAACGGCAGTTCTTCACCCTTTAGTCCCCCACTGTGTTGCTTCACGCTGGCTTGCTGTTGTGCAGGCGCTTCATGGGCCGGCCGTTTTTGATCAGGCCAAAGATACCATGTTGAGGACCTTTCTAAACCCGTATCAAGGTGTCGGGCCCCCGTAGGACCTGGCTGACCAGGGCGGTATTTAGCTTGGAACCTCACCACAGCACATGCGCGCACTAATGCGTAGAGTTCTGAGCCCTGGCTGGCAGAAGCTTGAAGCATTGATTCGATTTTGATCCCGTTGGCTTGCGTGTAGTTGCTCTCGGAACCGTTGGGAACTGTGGTTTGTGCAGCGGTGATGGCCCTTGGGCGGAACAACAAAGGTGTATCGACCGTACAGATCTTAAGCAAGCATGTTTTGCTCTGCTTAGTTTGCGTCGTGAGTGTCGCAGTCAAGTTAGTCGTGCTTCACATGTTCATGAACCATGGCAACGCACTCAGGACCCCACTGGGGTGGGTTGCAGCGATGAAGATGTCATATCCATTCTGCCGGTGGGCGCGGTGGTTGTGCATTGCGACGATTGATCCAGCGTGTGAAACAGCATCAGTCTTGCCAGCGCCCAAGGGCCCCGCCAGAGCTATGTCGTCAATCCCAGCCGCAAGCCATAGTCGATGGAGGTCTGGTCAGCAGCGTTGCTGTGGATCAGTGCCGTATGGGAAACCTAGGCGAAGAGGTCAGGGTGTTTCCTCGGAAGGGTAATGAAGTGTCTGTGCTCTTTCGGCAATTCAGGGATCACATGGACCCCCCTCCGCGCAACAGATTTTTCCAACCAGCAGTTCGTCCAGTTGCTTCACTTCGTCGCCAGGGCCACATACTGGAACGGGGGCCGGGCAATCTTCGAGAGGGCCTTCGTTCGCATGCGCCGACGATCGCCAACGCGTTTCTCGCTCTTAAGACGCGTGGCGTGGAGGGCAAGGCTTCTGGACAGCCTGCTAGCTCACAAACATGGAGCGCCGAACAGCAAGCATTAAATAGCTTTTGCCGGAACGTCGGGCCCATCACATCATCCTCATATGAACCTTTCACCTGAAGAAGATGTTGCCGCCAACGTTTACACCAGTTCTGGCAGCGATGCCTGGATCGCCGGTCACTATATATACATGACTATGTCACCATCTTGATCAGCCACAAATGGTTGCGGACTTTTCTTGAAGTGGAGCTGAGGGAGGGTGAAGTTCTACAAAGACAGCAGTGATCTCAACGATTTTGTTCATGAAAGGTGTATTCAGTGTATTCCAAAGACAGCGCCAGCAACAGGATAGAAAAGCAGCTAGGGGATGCCCAATGATTGTTAGCAATTGTGGATGTGCCACCGGGTAGTGGCAACATTTACTCAAATCTCACGGCCCAGCGCCCGGACAACGTCCAGCCGCATCACAAGGACAACTGCGTCGCCTTCTCTTCTATCTGTAGCCGGTTGTAGCAATAAATTATCATAATGATTCAATAATAAAGCCATTAATGATACCTGCTACGGCCGTGCTGATGTGAACTGCCTACTTGAAAGGCAAAAGAGAGATCGCCAATCGCAACGCAAGACGTCCAAAATGGTTCGAGGAGAACGTTGAGAGGAAAGAGCAGTTAAGTGCTACAACAGTTTCATTGCTCCAGAAAGAGGCCAGCTGCCAATTCGAGCTTGACTTGTTCTTTGTTTCCCCCCACATATTTGAAGAACCAAAACGTTTTGAGAGTGGGTTACTACTTTGTGATGTATTTCCCAGAAAGGTTGTGGTAACCCCCATAAAGCGCGAGGTAGTGGTTGGAGTCAGCACTGGGATCGTAGAGGGGGTGCAAAAGGTGGGGTCGCGCCCCGCACTTATACGCGGATGATGAGAGCATAGGAGAGCGCTCTCAATGTTTCTGAAATGCCGGAGTCCTTTGGGGATCAAAGAATCCGGAACTACACCTACGCCGGTGAAATGTAACATTAAAGAAAGACTAAAGAATCCTTGTGCCGGGTTAGTGTGGCTGCATTTGGAAAGTGGCTCCTTAAGATTTGGAGCTATGCTAGTGTAGAAAAGCTGTGGAAACAAACCGGGGAAACCTGGGCAAGGCTGGACACAGACACATATTACTATCTACAGTGCAGGGACGGAAAAAAGGTGCAAAGGTTCATCTTGAGATTGAAGCATTGGGGCCGGGAGATGTTGCAGCTAGAGGTCTATGTTAGACCATGGCTGAGCAGTGAACATGTGCAATGTTCGTCTTGAAAAGCCGGGGAAACCCTGGGCAATGTTGGACGCTGTTGTATCTAACATGGAACATTGCAAGAACAAAAATCTAGCCCTATGTTGGCCATCACGCAGAACACGTGTTAGCATCTGCTGCTGCTGCTGCTGTGCAAGGACTGTCCATCCTTAGTGGGATTACTATGGGGGTGTCCTATGTTAGTCTTTATTTTGACCCCCAAACCACATACTCTCCAGAGACTGGTGCTTTCCTGATTCCCCAGGAGGTCACCGTTTAAAGTGTGCCATGCTTATGAGGACTTGGATCAAGACCTGTGATCTACAGTAGTTTTCGCGGGAGTATAGAACCAGGAGTTGCCCACATTTTGCTGAAAGACTCACGCACCTCTTTAAGGATATGTTGTTCACGACGCTGGGCGCCGGCGCTAAGAAAACCAGCGCGCGCAGTGGATAGACTACATCACCCAAATCAATCTTTTTAAGTCGCAACTGTTCTGTTTGTTGCGCTTTGAAAGTGTCTTTTTCATCGTTTTTGCTATACTTCTATTTCTTACTTTTGATTAACAGTAGCCCTATTTGTTTTGATGCAGAGGGCTTGCGAAAAAGGTTTGCGTTTTTGGTGTTAGTTGATGTTTAGCAAAAAAAATAACAACGAAAAAACACAAGGCAAAAGGCAAAGAAAACGGAAAGGGTGAAAAGAAAAACAAAAGGAAATGTAAGAGGAGAGGAAAAGGAAGGGAAGAAGAAAAGGGCAAAGGAAGGGAAAGGAACAGGGCACATAACGCAAGGAACAGGAGAAAAAACGGAACAGTACAAGGGTAAGCGTGCTGTCTTCCATGTTAGTACCCCGGGCTAAGATGAGTACCCCATGTTCTTAAGAAGTACATGTGCTGGAGATGTGGTTTCAAAGGCTTAGGAAAGTTTCTGGGCATAGCAAGGGGCTAAGCTGAGAAAACCCGCAAGTGGAGAGCCAGCAGGTTCGAGGTTGAAATTCCCTTGTCGTCACCAGGTAAGAAACAGTTTTTTAGGCTCATGTGTTCACGTTTGTAGCTGTGCTGTGTCTGCCTCAGTAAAGGCACATGCCTGCAGCTCTCCTGCCAGGTTCTCAAGCAAACCCTAGTGCTAGTAGTGGAAACGCTAGATCCTGTGGTGGGAAGATTTCTGACTTTTCTGAGGGGCAGAGGCAGGTAGGCCAATCGCCCCAAAAGCTCCCCAGGCCCCAACCAAGAAGCAGAAGCCCCAAGCGCCGCAACCAAGTATGGAAGCAGACTTGGATTACAGTTGTACCGCGCGCAAACCAGGTTGATGCCAGGGAAGCCACCCTGTGGTGGTGTGGGCAGAAATGCGTCAGGGCACATGCGTTCATAGCCTGATCGACGCCCTCCCGATGAACAAGGTCATACGCATCCACTTTGACTACGCCAGCCCGAAGCTTGCCAAACCAAAGGCGGTCCCTGCCCAATTTCGTTTCTCCGAATGTGGTTCGCTCCATTGAGACGCCTACGCACTTTATATTTTTAATGTTCTTCACATGGACATTCTATTTCACATGACGTTTTTCCTTCGTCTCCACTGATGTCAAATCGAAAATTTTGGGGCGCGGCGCCCCCCCCGCACGAATCCAGCAGCTCAAATCTCAAGACGATATGTGTGACCCTAGAGGGAAAATACTTTTGATCAAACTTTTTTCAATTCCGATGGCCTTAAATTTGGAACTCCTCCAATTTGACGCGCGTTCCTTCTCAGTGATCGCTTTTTGTGGTATAGCCACCAACTCTGAGATTGGGATACTTACGAGTTTTGGCACTATTTTTTGTCGATTTCAATGATCAAATATTGATTGGTTGTGTCGAAAGTTGGTGCATCAAATATATACAGTACATCTATATTTCTAAGTTTAAAATGCAATTTGCACATGTCACGTTAACATATGATTTCAGCCTTCCAATTCATCCATAGCATTTTTCTGGTGAAGCGGCTTCTATGCAGGAAGGGTCCATGCA